GCTGTCCCCTAGTCCAAATCCTGGTTAGAAGTTTCTGTTTTCCAAACTGCACACTTACTCATATCCACATTCTTCCAGACTTGACCACAAGAGAAACTGGTTCTACAAGGATGCTTGTGAATTTTTCCGTCTTCCGTCTAAAGCAGCAGCTTTGAACTTAAGAACCCAGAATACGCTACCTTTGTGAATCAGGGGCCATAATAGCTACCTCTCCCCCAAGGCAATGTACAACTCATGGCTAATTTATCTGGGCTGAAGGGAAATTTCTTTGAGTAAACAGGAGAAGAAAAGAGAGTTAAAGAGGCTGGCAAAAAGGACAAAGTACATCAATTAATACATTAGGGGACGGGTGGGGGTTACACCACTCCAGTAAATATTTGTATTGTATGATATTACAATGCTCCCAAGATACCATCCCTTGATAGCACTCAGGGCTTTGGCTGCCAGGCCTCAGCTATGAATGCTGCATACAGTTTATCTTCCAACGATAATCCAATCCTGCCATGGACCTTAAGACTCAAGAACTGCTTTGGAAATACTTATTAATGTGAATGTTTCCATGTTTCTTACAGAAGAAAGAAGAAATACATGGAATAAAACAAAGCAAAAAAAGAAAACCTTGAACACAAAACCTGCAGGAAATGGACCATTTGCAAACCCTTGTCTTCATTTTATCTTGAAAACAAGGCTTTTCCTTTCCTTTCCTCTGCGCTGTCCTCCAGCGTCCTGATACCTTTCAGTGTGCAATGAACCTCTGTTTTCATGTGGATCCTCTGTGATGCTTTCACAAGCAAATGTCCTTTTCAGAAACTCTGACAATATTACTGGTTTGATACTAACCAGCTGCTTGCTAAGTCACCTCACATCCTGGTGCACAGGGCGTTATAGATAATCGAAGTTGTAAATTCCCTGTAAAATTCCAAGGCAACGTCCGCTTGGTCAGAGATTTCAAACACAAGAAAATCCTTTGTGTGAACAGGAAACTGATTTGAGCGCCTACTGTTAACTAGACAAACAACTTGTAAGTGAATTGCATTTGTTCTCTTGGCAGCTGTTTGTATAAAGAGGCTTAACTGAAGATTAAAACAAATTCTACCTTAAAATATTGTGCCATAAAACCATACACCTGCTCAGAGATCAAAGGACTGTAGTTATTGCCAGTTATATAAGCATGTGGAAAAATATACATGGAAAATGATTCAGAGTAACAAACCTGGACATCTAAGGCAAATCCCCCCCAAGTCCAAGGTGTGTCAGGCTGGCACATTGAGAAGAGAAAGCCAGGCTTACCAGCCTCCTGAAGAAAAGCCAGCGAGACTGATTGTGCAGAGCTTTGAAAACTTCCAAAGCACTGTTGATGAGAGGAACGGATGAGTTCTAAAGGGCAGAGAAAACTTTAAGCCTCTTTTGGATTCTATGACAGAAGGATTTTGTTAATTCCAAGATAACTGTGGCTGCCGAACCTATGCGGGGGTTACCCTTTATTTTCTCTCAAAGATAAATGTGGGCTGAGAGAAACAGAAGTAGATGGGAAATGGAGACGTTTTAGAGGAACAACAGGATGTTCATGCTTTCGCCAAGATTGAAACTTTCTGGAAGCTTCCCACATACAAGATAATAGTAATACAACCCAGGTGTACAGTGACTGACAAAGGGAGAGGCCCACTCATCTAGGTGTTAAGAACATGACTGCTGTTTGTATTACTACCTGCGATTTTCAAATTAGTGACTTAATGCTGCACAGGATGAATAGACCACCTCTTAGAGGGGAGTTGGATTTATTCTTTCTTTTTTTTTTTAACCCAGAGCAGGAAATGCTCTTTCTGGGCTCTGTCCATCTGCTGAAGCTGCTCTGGGCACCCTGCCCAAGACTGCTCACCAGGCCCCTATTGCTTATTTTGATCTCATCCAATCCTTTGGCCTTAACGCTTTCACTTCTCTTATTTTGCTCTTTACTGTGCCTCCTGCATGTGAGGTAACAAAAATGCCCTGGTTTCCCTTCGCTGCCTGCTTGTAGCAGGGAAAGACCCTCTTGGCATATGTAAAAATCAGTTGTTGGCTTTGTTTTCAAGACACTGTGACACATTAAAATCCACTAAAAGTTGAAGCTAGACTGGACGTTCATGGGGCTCTGGGCTGATTGCCTTTCTCTTAGATGAAACCGAGGGTCTCTGGAAACTTGAGTTGTTCCTGTGACCCCTTTCTGTGTGGTGTGCTAACAAGGGGTCACTGCTGGGCTCGGCTCGATGCCAATGAGTCCTCCCCCAGGGGAATTCACAGAGTGCCCAGTGGCAGCTTTCAATCTCTGGTCCCTTAAGGGAAAGGGTACCCAGTCTCCTGGTCAATTTCACTCTTTCTCTTTCACTGAAAAAATTATCTTCATTATTCATTTTCCAGAGAAACTTTCTTTACTAAAGCTCCGAAGTTTAAGCCCCTTAGCAACTTCTTCTCAGTTTTAGCAGAGGTAGCAGATGAGCCAAAATCAGAAACACATTCCTTATTCAGTCTCTCTCAAGCTCCCCTTCTCTTCAAATGTCTGTTCTGCTTCTGGGTAACTATTTGACTTTATAAATCCAGCTGAATTCCCCTAAAAATAAAACTTGCAGGGGTTCAGCTCAGGTAGGTGGCATCACGACAGCTACGTGGAATGCCACTTGTTGGAGTTTTCTTCACTTTTATGATAGAAGAGATCTTCCCTATGAGTCGCTCTCCAGGAAGCACCCTCAGCATAGCATTATGCTGTTCACTCTTTCATTTCCTGCTAATTCGGAGGGCAGTAGAGCACCTAGGTTCAAATCCCGATTGCAGTGCTTCCTAGCTGCATAACCTTTGGGGGTAGTTCTCATTACCTCTCCAAGCCTTGGTTTCTGGCTCAGCACCATGCCAAACAGTCTTATCTGGTCTTCCTCTCTGGGTTTCCCCTTGGATTCTGAAGCCATTTCCACCTAAACTGAGAAAGACAAAGAGTTGCCACACAACTAACAAAGAATTGATGCCTTTTCCTTGACCCTCCCTTTATAAGATTTCCTATTTCCTGCTGCAGCTGCTGAAACTAGGGATTCACTGACTTGAACATTTGCTATTGACTCATTTCTCTTCTTCCTGTGACGTCCACAACACTTACTTTATACATACAAGTTCAGACAATTAAGTTCGTGAACTCATCCTAGAAAAAATGCTGCATACCTCATTGCTCACTATGGTCCCCTTCGAAGTACTCCCCTTGGGAAGCTATGCACCCACACTAGCACCTAGTCCACCCTTCAAAGCAATTTTGGAACTCTTTTTTTGGAATGGCCATCAGAGCTGTACTCATATTAACCTTGATATCCTAAATGTCATCAAAATGTCTTCCTTTCAATATTTCCTTTATCTACAGGTAAAGAAAGAAGTCATTGGGGGCCAGATCAGGTGAGTAGGGAGNTTAGAATCTTCCCATATTTATAAACCCAGAGTTTCACCTCAAATGTCTACAAGCATGTACAGGTGCAGTCCATTATCAGAAATGAAACCAGTGTACAACCCCCAATCGTAAATACACACCAACCCCAGAAAGTGACTCAAAGCATGTTTCCATGGTTCCAACAGAAACTTTGCCATGGAATCTACTTCAGCCCCTACAAAATCCACCTGAGAAATCCCTTCTCTCTGGCCCCTCCTTCTCACCTCATCAAATCCTATGATCCCCTTGGTCTTTTCTATTTCTCTGACACCAACTAGGTCTCCCAGCTCCAGTCTTGAAGCTCTGCCCATTGTTTCAACACCATGGTGAGGGTTGGCATACCCTTGCTGTGTATTTCTGTGAGACAGTTTTAAATCCTTCAGTTTGTTAAGAGTGGACTATCTCTAAGACCAACTATCATCTCTTCAATTTTGATGTGTTTTTATGATCACCAAGTCTCCATCTCTTTATTTTACCAAAGATTGTCTCAATTACATGGGATATCGAGGGTGAGCTAGATGGAAAGCAGGGGGTGAAAGAAAAAGAAAACCCCATTACATTCCTCACAGGGTGATGGTAACTTCTAGATTGATTTCCCCTGGCTAATTCCCTGGTTAGCCCTCATCAGAAAAGCAGCCTTACAGTGAAGATAAAATAACAGACAGAAGTGGAACTGCAGTTAATAATTAATTGAGCCTGTCACTTCTAAATAGCCAAGGACCAGACACTGAAGAAGAAAGCCTCAAGGGTCATATTACCCTGAGAAACCATCTTTACAAAAAGCCGATCTTGACTCAGGTCTAGGTTATCTCCAAATCAGAAGTGGGAAGGAGATTTGGCCCAAAGGTGAATAGGCTAATCTCTGTTAGTGATACCTTAGTAATAAAAATTCTTTAAATATTGAGGTTTTACCGAGGTTGGGGTGGGATAAGAAGAGGTATTACT